AAACGGCATAGCATGGGATAGAGAGAAGAACCGCCTTTTCGGTAAGCTCTAGGCTTTTCGCTTTTTTTTTTCTCGTCTGAGTATCTACCACCAGCATCTTTTGGAATGTGACCTAATTCGTGAGAGGATTATGCTAGAAGAAACCAGTTATATTTATCACCACTATTTATTATGGTTTTATAGCAGTTGTCTGCATATATTGACGAGTAAGCCACTTCTGTTTGCACTTTACAGTAACTGGAAAACTTTGGCCAAAGCTATTTGAGATCAAGCTGCACCCAATGAGAAAACAATTTCATGGAGACATTAAGGAAATTTGCATGTCAAATCCAGTTCATTTTGCAATACCATAGATCAGTTGTGCCAGTCAAATTGCAAATACGTTAAGCTGCGGCACTGGTTCTGATGAATGTTTATTGAATACCATTGGCTTTTTTTTTTTTTTTTTTTTTTTTTTTTTGTGGTAGCAGATCTTTAATAGTGTAGATATCAATCGGCATAGTGTCAAAGGAAACACAAACTGGAAAACTGTATTTACCCTTTTTAAGTCATTTTTGCAGGTCTTGCATTTCTCATGCTATTGCCCTGCCCAAACTTGCATTTGTATCTTTGGTGATGTACTCATAATTTGGATGGATCGAATTAAATTGTCCTCTCTCTCTATGTGTGCGCGCGTGTGATAATTTGTATGTTGAGCAATGCTAAACATACTAGAGTAATGCTATTGGGACCTAATTTGTATGTTTGGTAATGTAACCATAATTTAGATCGAGTTAAATTGTTGTGTGTGTGTGTGTGTGTGTGTGACACTACCGGAATGCAGCAAAAGGTGAGTAGAAGCCTTCTTATTCTCCCATTGTACGAGCCTTGTTTAACTTATTCAAATGTCTGGTGACACTACCCTGATTTTTTTTTTTTTTTTTTTGGGGGGGGTTCCATGGGTATTATGTTGTAATTTCAAAGGAGGCAGATCATGGTTGATGCTGTCCTGATCTACGAGTTTCTAATGATATGATTGGTGAGAATGTCACTTCCATTAGAAATTAAACGGTTATATATTATTTACTGAATAATCCGTATTATATAAGAGAATATATATAGGAAAGGCTAAAATCTTAATCGTTCCATAATAAAAGTAAAATTCTTAATTATACAAAAATTATTAAAAGCACAAAATTGTAATCTAATTAATTAACATAAAAACACGTGTTGTCCAAAAAATAAATCAACTGAAAACACTGAGTTCAAAATTTTCTATGATTAATTATTAATTTTTGAATTTTTTTTTAAAATAGTTGAAATAAATTTTTGAAGGCTTAAGTGATACTCTCTCTGTTCCTAAATGTCTGTCGTTTAAGGTTGTCGTACAGGAATTAAGGAAGTTATTAAATAACTTTAATATGAGTAAAAAATAATTGCACAAGACTAAAATACCCTTATTTAATATGTATTAAAAAAGAAAAGAATATGAAAGACACTTAACCTCCACCAAATCTGATGCATTGAAAAGTAAAAGGTAAATCTGGAAGAAAAAATATTAATTATGTTTTAGTTTTATTAAACGACAAATATTATAAAACAAAAAAAATTGTGTAAAAAGACAGATATTTAAGAACAGAGGAAGTAGAATTTAACCTAACACTAAAGGAGCGAAATTATGAGTCTTGATCACTGTTTTAATCTAGAGCAAACACTATTGGCCTCGATCAATTCTGAGTTTGAACTATTTTACCTTTGCAACTTTCTGCTTCAAATAATCAACAGCCGCCTGTTTACCATCAACCTATGTTTTTTTGAGTGAAGAGCAAGAGACAGAGTGGTTGCAGAAGAGTTCATAGATTCTCATAGAGGTGCAATCAACAAAGACTCTTTCCTAATCGCGACACAGTTTACAAGGTTATCACACGAAGATCATTGCTTTTCCTTGGTCACTATGGGTAAACTTGAATATTCACATAATTTGTATAAAGTGGTTACCCTCGTATTCGAATCCATTAATTGTTAGCCCGATTCATAAATATCGGGATAATTTTTTTGTTAAATTTAGTTGATTGTTACCTCGACATTGATTCCACTGACCGGACTGCCCTACTGTAACATTGATATACATGCTAATGGCGATTTGGCTTCACTCACGAAGTTGTCATCTCAATCCTAGAGGTTAGGCCCGGTAAAGGATGTGTTTTGAATTAGATTTTGGATGATTCAAATTTAAATTTGATTTTAAAAATTTGATCCGAATCCAATCTGACAGATTTTATTTTTTGTGGTACATATTTGAATTCGGTAACAATATGAAATTTAATCCGACCCAAATAATTTAATTAACTAATTTATAGCAAATTACCTAAATTTTAACTAATTTTTTTAAAATAATTACTTAATTTTTTAAGTATTTATATAAGAATATATAAATAATTCGGATAGGACCATAATTGAATTGAATATTGATATATACAAAATCCGAATCCGTTAAATATATAATATATCGGATTCGGATTTGAGTTTGAATTAACATTAGAAAATATTAGTCCATATTCAACGAACTGAATTCAAATTTTACTGAAAAGTAAAAAATATCAATGGATCAGAATCCGATCCATCGATAAAGTTACTGAAAAGTAGCTTATGTGATAATAAAAAAGAGTTGTAATTTCAAACGTCTAGAGTTTGAATTTTGACAATTTCTTAATAACTAAACAATGATCATGAAGAATTAATTTTTCATGAATATTTTAATCCTAACATGAATAATTTGCCTTTAATCTAATTAAGAGAAGATTAGTCAAAGTGTGCATAAATTTACTACAATACCCTCACCAGTTAACCCAAAAAAAAAATTTGTTGTGATCTCATGATTCCCGCTACATTCGTTGGCTCAGTTAGTTATCGAGATTTGAATTTAAAAGAAAGAGTTATACTAAAACTCAACGTCTTCAGCAAAAGTTAAACCAAGCGAAGGAAGAACTCATAGCTGAGTTCCATAGTCCTCCATTTTCATGAAGCTCAAAACCCCACTTCATATCTCTCCATTTCTTTTTATTTGAATCTCTCTCTCTCTCTCTCTCTAACTATGTCATTTGCTGTGTCATTCATTACCCAGAAGCTCTCCGTGCCAACCTCATTCTTCGGCTTCAAGCTTTGGATCACAATCGCCATCTGCATTGGATTAGTCATTGTATTGGCTCTTCTCTGCATTTGCTGTTACTTCATCTCCTGTCGTCGTCGCAAACCTCCTGAAGTCCGCTATCGTAAAGGGAATCCGGCCGCCGCCTCGAAGAATTTACGTAGTAATTACAGTGCTTCTTCGCTTGATAGGAGGCTGCTGTCCAGCAATGGCTGGGACGTGGAGATGAGCATTGCCGCACCGGAGAAGAAGGCGTTGTACTCCGATCAGTGGTCGACACAAACCGGCGGGACAACTAGTAATGTGAACGATTTAGGGGCCGTTACGGTGGTTTCCGATGTATGCAGAGGAAACAGATTTACACTGAGGGATATTGAAGTAGCCACAAATGGGTTTGCTGATGACAATGTGATTGGGAGTGGGGATTATGGGATTGTTTATCGCGGTGTTCTATTGGATAATACTCGAGTTGCAGTAAAAAAATTGCCAAGCAACAGGTAAATCCTTGTTTTATATCTCTTATCATAATCTATGTGCTGTGATTGCTAAAAAAATTGAACAATTCGGTAAGATTGGCTATCCAAGAATGTAGAAGTGAGTATGGGCCGTCGGTTCCGCTGGAAAAAATTAAATAATACAAGAGATTCAGGTGATGCTGTAGCGTTACGAAACCAAATTTTGGCATTGTAGAACGATGACTAAGATGATTCAGTTGAGCAGACCTTCATCGCTCTCAGAACAGTCTGAATGGGAAACAAGTTGGCAAGTCTTATCAGTCTTTACCGATACTTTGAACCATAGCTTAAGAGTCCGTTGGATTGTGTGTTGCTGATAATTCCTAGTAGTATGACTATACTTTGAACTATGGTTTGGAGTTTAGTTTGGTTATTTTGCTGATTTTTTTTTTGGTTAGGATCTCTTCCTCGATCTGGTTAAAAACAGATCATTTACGCCGAAATTAAATATTCACGAGAGAAATTTTTTTATAATTTATCCTTATTATCATTTGAGTTACCTTTGATTTAAATCTTAATTGAAATAAATTATTATCAGAAAGACATAAGTTGAAAAATTATTTCCTAATGATTGTTTTAAAATAATGAACTGACTGATAAGTACATATCAGGTTTAAAGCAGAGGAATTTGTAGCAAAAGTGGAGGCTATGTGGCGAATTGGACACAAGAATCTGGTTAAATTGCTCGGATACTGTACTGAAGGAACTTACAGGTACCACTTATTTTGATGAATCTTCACACCAATGATTCAGATCCCCAGTGCTTCTAATACCCTTTTCATTTGGAATATTAGATTGCTTGTGCATGAATACATAGACAATGGCAACCTTCAGCAGTGGCTTCATAGATGCATAGGGAAAGTTAGCCTTCTAACATGGGATATGAGGATGAACATAGTCTTAGGAACTGCAAAAGGGTGTGTTACGCTCTCCCGAAAACCAGATTTTCGCCTATTCCTGCTTCATTTTTTTGCAATTAGATTTAATATTTGAAGATAATTTGTTTCTGCAGATTGGCCTATCTTCACGAGGATATCGAACCTGAGGTTCTCCATCAGCACTTAAATTCTAGCAACATACTACTTGATCGCCAATGGAATCCAAAACTCTCCGATTTTGGTATCGCCAAGCTCTTAGGTCCTGAATGGAGTCCTGCCATAGCTCATCCGATGGGAATGTCAGGGTCAGTATGTTTGTTTTAATTTAGTAATTTCTTTTCAAAACAAGAACGAGGATTGATTTGATTCTGAAGATGGACCACAAATTTTCATTCAATGCAATTATAACTGATCCTAAAGGTTAAAAAATTTAGAAAAAATATGGTTACAAACGAATCACTGATTTGGAACAACATTCTAATGGGAAAGTATGAAATTGTATCCTTTTTTCATCATTAAATGTACATAGGCAGTAGTGTACTGTTGAGCAATTTACTAGTAAGCTTTTTGGTATGGTTTTGTAGTTATATTGAACCAGAATATGAATGCACTGGTGTTGTAGACAAGAAGAGTGATGTTTATAGCTTTGGGATACTTATCATGGAGATTGTTTCTGGGAAGCCCCCGATAGAGTATAGCGAAACCGAGATTGAGGTCTATGGTCCTCCTCCTGCAACCTTCAAATGCTTCCTTTTTCTTCTCTGAACTTCCTATAAACTCTTCTGACTATGCTAATGCAGATGCACTTGGTAGAGTGGTTTAAAGCCTTGATTGCTGAACAAAACTTCAGTCTTGTTGTGGATCCTAAGTTGCCTCAAATGCCTTCGCCAAAGGAACTCAAACGAATTCTGTTGATTGCTCTTCGTTGTGTAGATCGAGAGGTTGATAAGAGGCCTAAAATTGGAGATGTGATCCACATGCTCGAGCCACACGATTTGCTACTCACTGATGTAAGAGGAGGAATTCTAGCAAAAAAAAATTCATGATTCAACCAATAAAAGTTTTCAAACTTAGCCTAATTCTTTAAATTTGTAGCTGATCAATCACACTACTGTTTATTCTGATGATGCAGGGGTGTATTTTGAGGCGAGAAATTTCTCGACGTAGTTTCTTAACAGAGAATTCATTGTTGCCGAACTAGGTGAGAATGCTAACAGTATATGATCTAAAGAAGAAAACCCGCAACGATTTCTATAGAAGATTCTGTAAATATGCCACCATGATCAGCACAGGTCATTGACATATCAGTTGGAGCGTATATATTATTATGTTACCAGTGCAAAGTTTTGTTTGATTCACAAATGCTTTAGTAAAACTGGTTTTCAGGGTTTTTGGTAGAGCTTACCAATTTATGGAATGCACTCCCTTAATGGTTTCATTTACCACTTTGTTGTATCGCAAGTGAGACGTACCGTAAATTCAGACGTGTTAAGTTCGAATCTTGACAATTCTTTGTATTAGGCTGTAAGGGATTACTTCTTATGAATACTTTAATATCGGAGCAAATGATTTGTCTTTGATTAGACCAAAAAGAGAATTAGTCGAAATGCGCATAAATTAATTTGAGCACCCTAATTGTTAAACCAATAAAAAAAAAGAAGCTGAAAGGTCTTGTTAGTTGATTACAACTTTACATGTTTCACACTACCATAACAAACTCATCCTTTTTGTTTTTCATTCTCCCGATCAAGTCTACTAGAAACTTTTATTCAAAAGCTTGCTTTCACTCACTTTCGTTGAGTAAAAAATTAAGGAGCATGTCCTTATTGATATGTGATATCTTTAATTAATTATAAAAAAATCGTCTAAAATTAGTAAATCTCATTATTTTAATCACATTCCCTTGCTTGTGTGAGTTTAATGCAATGCTAATGTAACATCATTATTGATATATCATATCACCAAATAATTATAAAATACTAAATAAGATTTAGTGAACATTATTTCAATAACAATGAACTAACAATCACCACATCTAATATGTAATACAGATTGTATTAAATATATTTAATAATCTTACATGTATTACTTTAGACAATTGTATTAATAATTGTTATGGATATGTAACACCAGGACACGTGGACATTGCACGATATGACTATCAAATGAGTCGTGTGTTTGTTTAAAACATATTTGTATAAAAGTTTATTCAAATCATTTGTGACTCATTTACATATAACTTAGTTCGTGTCGATGTATAAGTTATGTTTAGAGAATTTATATAATATTTAATTAAATTTTGTGTTAACTTATTTATTTAATCAACATAAAGAGTTCACTCGTTTATTGTATAAATAAATCAAAATTCACTGGTTTCGTATCATCTTTATGTCTAATAAAAGGCAGATTCCATAGATAATTATCAAGGGGTGGACCTAAACTATTGACATCACTAGGAAACTAATGTGGCCAATTATGGTCAGTTTGTCAAGGACAGGACAGTAACATCCTTAAAAAAGGCAATGAGTGAGTGCTAGTGAGATGCGAGACGTGTCACAATGTAGCAGCATTGTGGAGCCACAGCTAGAGTCCAAAACCCAAAGATCGAAACAGCGTCGTCGCCCTCCGAATCTTTCACCTCACCTGTTTGCCCCTATGTGATTCTTACGTGCGTGCGTGCGTGTGTACACCTCCACCATCTCATAATGATACCCTTTTTTTTTTTGCCTATTAAAAAGGGTGCGCAATCAGAGTGAAACTCTTGTCCGGACTTGATTATAGTAACTCGAACCCACAAGGAAAGTCCACAAATGGGGCATAAACGGCAAGAAATTACATATGCTCTCAAAGAGTGATTTGAGTTATAATTTAAGGTGGCGTTGGATAAAATTAAAAGTTAAATATTGAATTTTAAGTGTATATTAATTATAATTTTTTTTAAAATATTTTTTTTTAATTTTATTTCAATAAATGTCATAAGAGAAAATGAATTTTAGTTATAAAATTTAAAATATTTAATATTCTATCTTTGATTAAATTATTTTTTATCTAAATATAATATTTTAAACATGAAGAGTCTACATATTATAACCTATAAATTTTAAGAAATATGAGTGTAATTTATTAACTGATATATAAACAACATTGATGACAAGAGTCCAAGTGTTACTTATGTACAAAATTTAAGAGTTCTATATGTAATATTTTAAATATCAGTAAGTTTGAGTGATTAAGTGATAAATTTCAGGGATTTGAGTGTAATTTTTCTATTTTTTTTTTCACGACTTAGCATAAAATTGCTGTTGGAATGGCACTTCGGTAATTTGGTGATTGTAAGTCGTATTAAATTGGAAAGCGCTTACAAAGAACATGCGGCCTACGTGCATTTAACTTCCACCTCCCAAACTCGTCTCCAGTCCCAACGCCACGCCTCTCTCTCGCTCTCGCTCTCCTCTGTGTCAACTTACCCAACTCTGCGAAGGCTCTGGCCACTACCGTTCATGGCGGTCGGAATTTCCTTCGCTAGCGGCCGATCTTTCCGCTTCGGACGAAACCCATTCCTAGGCCAAAAACCCACCTCCACACTCACTACCGCTTCGCTTCTGTTCTCTCCTTCAATTCGCCAATTCGATTCGACTCTTAGGTTTCGAAGAAAGCCTAATTTTACTGTTTGTTTTGTTGTTGAAGACGAAAAATCGAAAACCCAGATTGAGACTCGCACGGAGGAGAGTGAAGAAGAGGTTGAAAAGCAAATCTCAGCGTCAGAGATTCGTGTGGCACAGAAATTGGCGAGGAAGAGATCAGAAAGGTTTACTTACTTAGTTGCGGCTGTTATGTCAAGTTTTGGCATTACATCGATGGCCGTTATGGCTGTGTATTATAGATTCTCATGGCAAATGGAGGTATTGTTGCTCTTTCTCCCTCGTTTTGTCGTCTATTGCTGAACTCTCTCTCTCTCTCCCCCTCTCCCCCCCTCTCTCTCTATCTATCTATCTCTCTATATATTCTGAAATTGGGTTGTTTTGGGTTTATTAGGGTGGAGAAATCCCCTTTTTGGAGATGTTGGGTACATTTGCTCTCTCTTTTGGCGCTGCTGTAAATTCCAACCCACTCCTCTGCCTAGTTCAATTAGTTGTTTATTTTGGGTAAATTTGGGTGCTGAACCGTATTGGGTATTCTTGAATTTCAGGTGGGAATGGAGTTTTGGGCGAGGTGGGCTCATAGAGCTCTCTGGCACGCTTCGCTATGGCACATGCATGAGGTTTGCTTTCTGGGCTCTCTCTTCCCTTTCTATGTTCCGTTTGATTGCAAAGAAAATGCAACGAAAACTTCCTTTTCTAGCATTTATGTTCATCAAACAAATGAGATTTGAATGAATAAGTCTGAATTTTGAGAGGTTATCTTATTCGTCGTGAACCGTTTGATTGCTACAGTCACACCATAAACCCAGAGAAGGACCTTTTGAGCTAAACGACGTGTTTGCCATAGTTAACGCCGTTCCGGCCATAGCCCTCTTATCCTATGGTTTCTTCCATAAAGGCCTCATTCCTGGTCTCTGTTTCGGCGCTGTAAGTCTCTCTCTCTCTCTCTCACACACACACACACACATCTGCAGTAAATCATTCTCTTTAAACTCTTTATTGACCTTCTATTATTGTCTGATTGCTATTGATTATGTTAAAATTTCCCTGGTTTATTACTTAAAATATCCTCTCTGATTTTTTTTCAGGGCCTTGGAATTACAGTGTTTGGCATGGCGTATATGTTTGTCCATGACGGTCTTGTTCATAAGAGGTTCGCAGTGGGACCCATTGCAGATGTACCCTATTTCAAAAGAGTCGCTGCAGCTCACCAGGTAATAAATACACAATAATCTAATCATATATCTATAGTATAAATAAGCAATTGCCCGTGCCTATAACGAAAAAATAGAAAAAGAAAGAATTTATTGGTATTATTTGTACAATTAAAAAATATCCCTTTGAACTTTAGGTCAAATTCAGTCAACTTTCTCTATTCTTAGTGTTACAAATTTATCCTCTCAAAGTTTGAATATTTGTAATTTAATCCAAGTAGTTAATTTCGACAGTAAAAAATGACAACAAATATTCATTTGCAAATTCCATAATCCCAAATTCCACGAAGAGACAATAGTACTGTTTACATTATTTTGCCTTGAGACGAAAAATGGAGAGTTTTCTTAGGAATGAAAAATTTCAAATTCAAGGTAATTTTTTCTTTTTAACAAATCTGAGATCATGTGATTTAATTTTTATTATTTTTCATTGTCAAAACTAACAATTTGTGTTAATCGAACAATGTACAAGTTTTGAGGGGGTAATTTGTTGAAATTCAAACTAGAGGGAGTTGATTACAATTTAATCCAAACTTGAAAGAGACATTTTGTAATTAACCCATATAGGAAATATTAGTAACGGAATCTAACGGACATGATCTTCTTTGATTTTTGATGTCTGGGTTTTCAGCTGCACCACTCGGACAAGTTCAATGGAGTACCATATGGGTTGTTCTTGGGACCTAAGGTGGTCCTCTCTCTCTCTCTCTCTCTCTCTCTTATATTCTTGTTGTTTTTTTTTTTTATGAAATAAAAATGGGATTTTGTATGAGCATATAGACTTAATATTGGTGTCATTTGGGTGCAGGAAGTTGAAGAAGTCGGAGGACTTGAAGAGTTGGAGAAGGAAATAACTCGGAGAATTAAATTGTCGAACAACTAGTTCATGATCAACCCACCTTACAATGTCACTTACAGTTATTGTCAGTTTAGACAGAAAGTAGTGTGGTTAATGAAATGATTTTGACATACTGTCTTGCTCCAATGGAAAAGGAAACGGTAGAGAAAAAAGATACCAGCTTTTTTCAAAAGAGTTTTATATTCATTGCATAATGTTTTCGCATCTAGTATTTATGAACGATAAATAGTAGATGGTCTTATTTTCATTTGAGAGGTTAATTTGAAAACTTGAACTAGCAAATTCTTGCTCGAGTATACGAGAATTTGCCATTGCTCCAAGTCCAACATTCAATAACAATCGACTTCTTGTTCTTTTTCGATACCCAAAGTTCAAACTCGAAATCGAAAAGAGTAATTAGAAGAGAATGATTATCGTTTTCTTTTTTGACAATGAGAAATTGATGTTAAATAA